TCTGAAGTCAAGATCAAGGCATCGCTGCACCAGAAGGGTACAACACCCTCCAGAGAGCCGAAACACTCATCTACAGCCAACCGAACAACTTGGTTCAATGGATGCCAGCGATGGCCAGCACAACAGACAGCTGCCAGGCAAACCTGCCATGCACAGCTACACAGCCACATCTCACCACATCATTCCCGTGTTAGCGTTATCTAAAGCTCCTTTCAGCAAAGGCCACCAGCTGCAAGTTGCTCTGTAGAGCTTACACATAGATAATTGAGTAATCTAATTTTGTTTGTGACCTAAATCCTACTTGGACACAAAATAGATGAGGTAAAAGGTGGGATGCTTTTCAATCGGTTGGAAATAGCAATTGAAAAACAGCGGGTCAGAAATTTAAGAGCTCACCCTGACCATGGCTTGTGTCCTCCAGCCTCTGCAACGTCTGCTGCAGGGAAAACAAAGTTAGCATTTGTTAATCTGGTCTAAGTCAGAAATACAGTCTGAACTCATGAGAACCGTGGGCTCAGCTGACAGCTCCCCACAGCCTCCAGTGTCAGCCAGCCTGCGGAGCGCGGCAATCCCCCACAGCCTTGCTGACTCTGACCAGGTGCAAGCAGGAGCGTACGCTTCCCTGGACTGGGGCATCAGCTGTCAGTGAAACACCTACATCTTCTCTAGACTGCACCCTTTCCAGCAAGAGTTTTACTCCACAAATACTCTATATAATTCAGGCTCTACTCTGCCTTTACCCTGTATGTAAAATTACATGTAAAATTATACATATCACTGTGCTAGATACCCTACGGACAGGCTGGGTAGTATGCCATAACTAGACAAAATCTCTCTCTGCACTTATAGAGTTGGTGGTAGCAGTCACGGCTGAACTGAACAAGATGCGCGTCCTCCGTAGCTCCATCACTCACACGCAGCCACAGAGCCAGGACGGACCTTCCTTACGACGCCCTGCCTTGCTCCCTGCTGCTCAAAACATCATCCTGGGGCTCTGCCCACCTGCCCCACGGGATCTGTGCAGGAAAGCGCCTTTTAGGTGCCATAAGGGATGTCTCAGCCCTCAGCATCAGCAGGAGCGCAGATTTCAGAGAGCCATAGTCCAAATTCTAGCAACTAGAAAAGCACCTCCAGTTTCTAATCTCATTCAGAGCCACCCTGAGTCAGTCTCCTATTTAAAGGTCACTTCAAAGCCCCCTGATTTTAACACGTTCCAATTCAGAAAATATTTAGGGCAAAACCCTAGCAGCACAGGAGACGTAAAGGGTTTTGCCACTGGCTCCAGTCTGAGCAGTTGCAGCCTCTGCTCTGCTGTCTTCTCCTCGCTTGGCTTCCTGGTCATCTGTGACAAAGGTGACCTCCTTCAAGACATCCCAACACAGCTGGTAGCGGATGTACTGGGAAGGGTGAAGAAGGGAGGTGTCCTGGGCAGGGCCTCGGGGTGCCGTGAGCTGGGCAGGGACAGGGCAGGAGCAGCAGGGCCATGCCACCCGCTGCCACTCGGCCACCGCAGCCCTCACCAGCTCTCAGCTCCAAGGCCATCACGGAGATGGCACAGCAAAGCTCAGAGGTCCCAACCACTCACCGGCTCCCTCCTGCTCCCACACGTGGCCTTGCGTTCCTACGCCCTGGCACCCACCTCCTCCGCTCCCTGCGCACCCCCGGCAGCACACTCGTACATCCTGGAGGGATGCAGCCCTGACCTGAGACCCAAACCGTAAGACATGACTCAGCCACCGCAGATGGGAAAGAAAACACAAGAGGGGACAGGAAAAAGATTTGGGAACCCATGTCCCAACTTTCTATATTCAGTAGTGTTTAATCTATGCTCTCTCTCCCTGGAAACAGTATTCCAGAGGACAGCCTATCTATTAACAAAAAGCTTCTACCCATGAAAGCAGTGAAGCTCTGGGAACAGCCTCCGGGCAGGAGCGCAGCGGGCGCGATGCTCGCCGGGCTAGAGGGTATTCCGTGCCACGGGATGTAAGGCAACCGGGAAGCACTGGTCAGTCTTAATAATGTCGTATTTTGCAATTGGGATTCCACGGCCTTTGAAATCATTGCTCCAGATAACATGCCGCTAAAACCAAGGAAATAGCATGACTGAATGGAGTCAGAAGTCATGCACGGATCACCTGGGAAACCTCCCTCTGGAATCCACACTGAGTCCCCTCCAGCCCACGTGTGCACCACCCCTGGCTTACAGAGATTCCCAAAATGGTTTCCTCCACACTCCCCAACTTCTTTTCCAACACTCCCGAGACCTCTCAGACTGAGAAACGAACTGTAAAACAAAAGCCGAATCACACCTTGACGGGGTACGTGGGGTCTGTACCCATTTTACCAGGGTACAGAGCTTCGGCGCTGAGGCATAGCTACACCCAATATCCTGAAATTTCCAAGGCCACCTCTGGCACGACGTGCCTTCCCTCCTCAGCAGCAGTGTCTTTGCTCCGGTGATGCAGTTTACGCAGAGGTTTCCTCCCTCCTAACACATGCATGGGCACAAGGAGCTCCATTTGCTCCTTTGCTTTCTGTCTACGTAGCAAGAAACCACATTCTTACCTGAACATCCACCAATCCAGCCTGATCAGTTCCCCGACCAAAACCTGTTAATCAAGCAAAATACAGCTAATAGGCAATTTACATCTCATAGCAGCTGCAGGACACGGCTGGCTGCCTCCTTTCGCGCCCCAGCCAGAGCTCGGCACAGGCAACGGGCATTTGATGACAGGACCCTCTGCCCTCCTGGAGGCAGGAGCAATGGGACACCTCCGGATCGGTGGATCCAAGTCACAGAAACCCAAATTTCATGTGAGAAATTGACCTCTCTGTATCTTCAGATCCACCCATCTGGACCAACAGGGTCTGCACAGGGAAATCCCCAGCAGCATCGAGCCAGCGCTCATCTCGGGAGGGCACCGAGGCCACTCTGCTCCATCAGGCTGGGGAGGAGAAGTGATTCAGTGAACAGAAACAGACCTTGCATCAGGAACGCATCCGGGCCAGGAGGTCTGGAATATCCAATTCAAATCTGAAGTCTAGAGAGGTTTCTAGACAACAGAGGAAAAAACATTTCAGCCTCTCCAGGAAGCAGGCGGGAAATGCAGAGACATCACCGTGATGCACCAGCTGCAACACAAACACTTGAGAGAAGCGTGCAACCATGAGATGTGAACATTGCTTTTGAGGAACAGCATCCGCTATGGACAACACAAAGGATGGGAGGATGAATTAGCTGTACCCAAGCTTAGTCAGCCTCAATGCAGAGAAAGCAATCCAACCAACAGCACCCACCTCTTTCAAATAGAAATGGCTAGTACAGCTTGTAGCCTCCCAAGAAAGCTTTAGCACAGACACATCACCATCATTTTTGACACCTGAACAGCTATCATATCCAACCCGAGACACTTCAGAACCAGTTACACCATTAACCAGCCCAGGATCCAACCCCTGCCAACAACTGCAACTCCCACGAAGACAGAGCAGCACCTTCTTAACGGACAACGTTGACAGTTAAGATGTCACTGACTAACAACGAAAGCTCTACTGTGCTAGACAGGAGCCACCGTGACTTCCAGTGAATCCAAGACAGAAATCCGTGTAGATAAACACAGAAAGGTCAAATCCCTACAGATGGCTGATGGTGGGAACTCGCTAGCTGAGGCTAAGTCATTTATTTAATGGACATGGGGAGGTTTGAGAGAGGAAAGAGTCCCAGATGGCGTTCTACAGAAAATTGTTACAAGGGTTTGATGATGTTGAGGGAGACACACAAAAAGCGAATATATAAATGCTAGCTCTACAACCAGTGAGAATACTCCATTTCGGAGAGAAAAACAGAGGAGGAGAGAAGACGACTTGCTGGAAAGGTCACTTGGGATGAGAAGAAGAATCATCTAAAGTGGTCTATAAAATTTCTAGATGTTGTAATTACCGTTGATAACTCTTCAGAAACATGTTTCTAACTCGTTAAAGGCTTCCTTGAAAATCCCCAGCATAAAGAAGCTACCAGAGAGAGGAACAGACCCCAGAGGGTGTATCCTGGGGAAGCAGAAGGCACTGAGCTCAAAGAGAGAGGCAGCGACATGCAGAGCCAAGCAGAAGCAGCCTATAACCAGGGACACCCCGGAGAGCCCAGGCAGCAGGGGAAGCTGCAGGGGCAGTTTCTGAGACTTGCCACTGACAAAACGCTTGAGACCTGCCGGGGAGCTTAGAGAGGAAAAACTGGGGACATCGTTGCACGCTAGCTGCATTCTGCCACACGTACAGGCTGTGGGTGCGTCACCCATCCGTCTAGATTGGTGGATCTGAGGATACAAAGCTAATATTTTCTGTGATGATGTACTGCTGTTATTTACTAGCGTCAGGAACAGCTCTGTGCCACACTTACATTCAAACTTCGGACAGGGATCTCCTGCAGCTAGCTATTTGGAAAACTCAGTGCAAGCTAATCACTGCGTAACTCCCTGACATCTCTGTGTTGGTACAATGACAATAACCTCAAATCTTTGTTTATTTTAGTGCTGAAAAAAAATCTATCACGGTTATGTCTTTTACAAGTAACATAGAAACAAGAACTTCTCTCTAACAAAAAGTAATAAGCACTGAATAAAGAGTCAGGAAAATGACAGTAAATAGGTCTGGACCTTCCTTATATATCTTGTGTAACTTCATTGTATATCTTATCTATCATTATATATATCTAATGCATATCTTGCATTAGCAGCTACAATTTATCTCAATTTAATCAATTCTGGAAGGCAGTAGCTCCAGTGTAAAACAGGAAAATACCAAATTTAACCTTTTTTTAATTCAGGGAGGGAGGGGTTGGAGGGGGATGGGGAGGGACAGGGACACCAAAAAAAGTCTTCTACAACTGACAGATTGGAGCAACCTACAAATAACGGAAGTAATCAAACTGCATTAAAATAACACTGCCTGTTGGCAAAATACTTTCAAAGTCGTTCCACTAGTTGTGCCTTTGGCTTTATACTCACATGTGTGGATTTTGGAAAGGAACTCCAGAAGTGTTTAGAGTAAATCTTGCTGTGGACTTGAAAGGTGGATTTGCAAAATTTAACTTCAGCGCTTTGCGTTTACCTGGGAGACAACGAACATAAAGTAAACTTTTTGTCAGCAACAAAATATTAAGAGCATCAGGAAATAAACAGGAAAAAAGATAAACATATTGTAAGAAAAGGAAAACGCATTTCACAACAACATTAGCAAATCATAGCTCGTGTTCGGGACACGGGGATGGAGAAATGGGAGTCAGCTCTCACCCCAAGGTCTTTCCCCATCTCATTCGAAGTCAGTCACCAAAGCGAGGTGCCCAAAGCACCTCCTGTGACAGCATCAGCTGCCAGGGCTCCGAGCATCCTCCATGTACAACCACTCCGTTAAATGGATCCATGCCAGCAGGCTCAACTTCAGCCATGGTGGCAAAGGGGCCCGACCTGCTCAGCACAGCCTGGGCATGCCACCAGACCACCCGGGGTAGATGGCGCTGGGCAGGTGAAAGGGGACCTTGGGATGGCTTTTCTGTAACGCCCCAACCGTAGGAGGGCTGATGGGATTCCTGACCCTCCTCAGCCTAACAGCAAATGGAGATAACCAGGCTTGAGCGAGGACGGAGGAGATCTTCTGTACGCTCCTTCTGCCAAGCGGGTCGCCAAGCAGAGAGCAAAATTCAGCCCATCGGAGGGGTGACCAGGTGAGAGAAGGCTTTGCTCTGCAGCCAACTGAGAAAGCATGGGGAAAAAGAAAATAAATAAGTAGTAGGGTAGAAGTGGTCCTGGTCACTGCTCCAGCCACTGGCTGTGTATTTTTCATTGAAGCTGAGATGACCTGCTTGAGCAACAGCAGGATCAGGGACTACGAAGGGAGATGTCCCTTCCCAGCCCTCCCACTGGGCTGCAGAAGACCCTGTCTTGTTCCCATTCAGCCTCAGGAAACCTGCGTTCCTCTCCACCAAAACACACTGAGACGGGGGCCTTTTGCACCCCAATTTGCCAGGAGCCCACAGCTGAACCCTCCTGAGTTTCCTGCTGCCTGGGTGATGTCTTAACAACTCACTGCTGTTCATCCCAGGAGGCACCGGCCACCCGAAAGTTGGCACAATACCCGGATTCCTCCAACAACCTTCCTTTGCCTGCACCCTAGAGCGGGTGTCATATTCCCAACCATCTCACAGCCCTCCTGGGAAAAGCCAGAAGGCACTATCCTGCTCCGCAGCATTCTTCTACCTTGCACAAAGAGGTGTTTTGGGTAACTCCAAGACCAAAAAAAAGAGAAAAAACTACTTACAGGTCAAAGCACTTTACAGTAATTTCAGGGCATGAAATATTACAAGGATCATAGAATCATTTAGGTTGGAAAGGACCTTTAAGATCATCAAGTCCAACCACTAACCTTGCACTGCCAGTCCACCACTAAACCATGGCCCTAAGCACCACATCTACCTGTCTTTTAAACACCTCCAGGGGTGAGGACTCAACCACCTCGCTGGGCAGCCTGTGCCAGGGCCTGACAACTCTTTCGGTGAAGACACTTTTCCTAGTATCCAATCTAAACCTCCCCTGGCACAACTTGAGGCCGTTTCCCCTCATCCTATCACTTGTTCCTGGGGAGAAGAGACCGACCCCCCCCGCTCCAGCCTCCTTTCCCCCCAGCCGCTCCTCCCCAGCCTTGGGCTCTAGACCTTTCACCAGCATTGTTGCTCTTCTTTGGACGCACTCCAGCACCTCAATATCTTTCTTGTAGTGAGTTTCTAAGCTCAGGCTCTTGCAGCACATGTGCCCAATGAACTGCAGAAGAATCACTTAAAAGAAGCCAAAGAGCTCAATTTCCCCTCATACGTGACCCAGAAATAAAGGAGGAGTTGAACAAAACCAAAAAGGTGGCAAAACCAAGATGAGAGTCTACCATTTTCCGCAGAACTTATCACCCCTCCACATCTTTGATGTCAATCATCCACAATGTTCTGAAAGATCAGACCATGCATGACCAACAGGAATATTCATAGAATGGTTTGGGTTGGAAGGGACCTCCAAAGACCACCTAGTCCAACACCTCTGCCATGGACAGGGACATCTTTCACTAGGTCAGGTTGCTCAAAGCCCCATCCAGCCTGACTTTGAACACTGCCAATGATGGGGCATCCATTCTCTGGGCAACCTGTTCTAGTGCCTCACCACCCCCATCATAAGAACCTATTCAAAGCTAACACTACCGATACTGTTAGCAAACAGAGGCAGAGCAATCTGTACCTTACATCTGTCTCTTGAGAAGTCCTGCAAGGCTCCTCCGAAGTGTACGGCTGCGGGCAGGCCTGACACCACAGAGTAACCGCAGGTTTCCTGGCGGGACCCTCTGTGAGCGCACAACCCGTCACACACCCGCAACACTGTGCCGTCGCCTGACCAGCCTCCGCGAACTCTTCTGACTACATCTCCAATGGCACCTCCCTTCTTACGCAGCAAAACCAGACTGAGTTCACGACTGCCGAGGACCTGGGAGATGCCAACGCTTACCAGCCGGTCCATACACCTGAAACCTCCCCCTGCTCGCCCGCTCTCCTCAGGTCCTCCCCTGCCACTGTGCAGACAGGCGCAGGTAGCGGAGCTGGGCAGGCACCTGCAGATAGCGGTCATACAGCCCCTCCGCTCGCTTGTCCTGTTACCGCAGTATAAACTCTTCTCTCAGACTGGGTCCAGGCATTTACAGCGGTCATCTTTCTTCTAGCTTTGTTTTATTCACATGCCTGAAACACTATCCCTCCTTCAAGGGCAATAACACAGTGTCATGAGATTTTCCCTTTCTAACAGCAATGTTTATACAACTTAGAAGAGCGCGGGTCTTTGAAGTGGCCCAACACTGAAAATGACACAATTAACTATAAATTCCCATCAGAAAGTCTCCTCTTCTCAAAACCTGCTCCTATTCTTACTACTTGCAAACTTTCTACACCAAGTTTCCTCTTTTCACACTGTGACAGAACATTTTTTTATCACTGTTAAACGTCAGTCTATTGATTTCTATCCCAGTAGGTTTCTAAGAATACTTTCAACGATGTCGATCCACCATCTACGGCTGAATTTTCTATAAATCCAACACACACAGAAGCACAACCTGCCCCTGGAAAGCAAATAGGATGGTTTGCTTTTGCTCAGGCGATGAACAAGGAACGTGACGGGGGAGAAAGGGACATCCTGAGAAACGCCGGGAATTTCCATTCAGCGCAAGTCACGTGGAAACGCGTGCTGCAAATGAAGCAACACACTCAAATGAACAAGAAGTCTGACGAGAGTCAAAGCAAGCTGTCTTCTCCAGCAGCCTTTCAAAAATCGAGTACTTCAGCTACATACTCTCCAAGTCTTGCGTTTCATCCCCAAAAAAACTTTTGGCAGCTCCAAGCCCCTATTCCTCGCAGAAACATCACTCAAAACTCACTGGAGGCAAAAGAGCCTCTTTAGATGCAAGAGCTTAGCTGGTGATTTTGCTGTGCACAGATTTAATTCAGACGACCCTGTTCCGCTATAATAAAGAGGCCTGGGGTTAATGCTGCTTCTGAAATTCGCTAATGCCCCTATCACCATCAAGGTTGTGTGTTCAAAATTGTCCTAAAACGTGCTGCAGAAATATCCACCTTATGTTAATTAAACGTTCTTTAAAGGTTTTGCTGCCTTAACACGTAATTCTAATCATTGACCACTATAACATCTACTTCTCTGAGAACTATAAAAGTAAAGATAACTGGAGAAGCAATGATTTGGAAGAAACCAAAAACAAAGTTTGGAACATACCGCTTTTTCATAAATTAGGTTAATCCTCAAAATCAGACCTGAGACTATGAAGTTTCTTGACTTCGGTCTTCCCAATTTTGACTAGTGGGTTTGTTCAGCTGTACGTTAATGGCTATACTAAGTCCAGACTATATTTGAATGCAGGATGGTCTTGGCTTTGGCTGAGCTCAAGTGGTAAGGGAAGTATTTGCTTATGTTTTGAAGGAATCTAAACAGGATTGTATCCTAAGTTATGCTGCTCTCAGAGAAGAAAAAGACAGCCGAAATAGCTTTCCGATTGCAAATAAGTTAATCTTCTATCCTTAAGGATAGCAATCCTTATTTCAAATCACTGCAGCCATAAAATCATAGTATTCTTTTCCTCAAATCCATTTTTAAAAGGATGTTGTTGTTTTAGCAACAGGCCGCCGCGTGGAACTGAGGTGAGGGAGGATGTGATCCTTTGTGTCCTGCTACTCCACGAACGCCCATCCCTTGGCATTTCATAGACTGTCACCAAAACGGACACAGTGAAGGTGCCCGGGAAGCCTTGCCAAGCTCGCACTGGAGACCCACCTACACAACGGCCACAGCAGAATAATTCAGGCTCATAGCAGGCATTTGTTTCTTGCTGCGCTGGTAACTGGATGCTAGGTTAAGTGTATAATTATTTATGTGCTGCTATCCATCACTAGGATTAATCCAAGCACTTGGCTCTGCAATTAAGCTCTCATCACTCTTTTTGAGGCCTCTTTACCACAATCACAGCCAACCAGTCTCCACACAAGAAGAAACAGCTATTCTGCAGATAACGTGCAGTCCAAAAGTATTCCTCCTTTATATATTCCGTATTACTATTTTTACTTCACCTAGGACATCTATGATTTCCTCAAGCCTCTGAGTAACCTCCTGTTGGAGAAAGCAATCCTTTTTTCTTCCTGGAATTTCCTCACCCCCTTCCCTGCACACCTCAACAACACTGCTAACTATGTTCAGCTTATGCCTAAGAAAATGCTCACTTTCCAAGCAGTAAAATTTTCAAAACAGCAGTAGTTTAATGAATTTTTTTCAAGGTTTCTGTCTTGCAGGGATACAAATTGATCCCTGCCAAAATGCTTTCCACTTGGTTCAAATCTGCAATATCAGCATCTTGTTATCATAGAATCATAGAATTGTTACGGTTGAAAAAGATCCTTAAGGTCATTGAGTCCAACCGTTAACCCAGCACTGCCAAGCCCATCTATACCATGTCCTCAAGCACCACATCTATCCGTTCTTTAAATACCTCC